TCCTTTACAGATTTCATGGAACTATACACATTATATAATGTGCTATCCAATCTATTAAAAATGTAGTTTTTACATAAGAAGTTAGGATGTTTTCAAGCATCCAATGAATCAATCATACCCTATTATTTTCCACTTCTTGTACGGCGGGATCATATTCTTTTAAGAGTTTTGTCAAATTTAGGGTCATGAGATAGAACAATATTTTCTGCTACCTTCTCTTAAAATCAACCCCACTAAACTTCTCTGGTTTCTCTCCATGTGGAACGGAATTAGTATGAACTGTAGAAAGAGCACCCGCAATCGGAGGAATCACAATGGTAGGAACCAAGTTAGGTAGCATTCCTTCTGAAGTTCCCATATTCGAAGTATCATTCAAAGAAGTATCGATATTTTTAACCATATTCATTTCTATTTACACAAAATAGAAGATAAACCAAAATCAAAATTTGAGAAAGAGTAGAAGAAGTTAAACCGAAGCAAAATCAGTTTAACCGAATACAATTCAAGAGTATAGTTATCACTCAAACGTAGATTCGACTTAAGAATATTAGATGAGATATGATGAATTTGAGTGATGACTTTAAAACAACTTACCAAAAATTTGACAGAGTAACGGTAAGGATATGAGTGAAACACCAAAGAAAAGAATTTAACTCCAAATGAAATGTATGCAAAGTCGAGGCAAGAGTTGAACTTCTTGTCTTTAAGTCGAATTTGTCCCATAATGGTGCATACGGACAATAGCAATCAACTCCCAAGATACAAAGTAAAACTTCTTGTGTTAGTAGAACTTCAAAACACAAGAATAACAAACCAAAAATTTGTTTTTTGTACTCCTTCAAATGAAAAATGGAAAAATAGCTTTTATGCAGAATTCTGGCTAGGAAAAGAATGAATTTAATGTTATGCTATGATTCCACATCATTGGGATGAACAAATGGATGTCCCAATGGTATACTTTATAGAGAATGAAAGGTTGTGAGTGAAGTGTCGCGCCCCAAACTCAGCAACATTTGTCGAAGGTCACGACATTTGTTGTTGCTAACTTGTCGGCCTTGCATCGGTCGAGCATCAGAAACAGAGACCATGTCACTCGCATGTCGCTCGCCTGTCGCTTGAGTGTTAGGCGAGCGATGAAATAGGTCAAATTTCTAGCCAATTTTCTCTTTTTTTCTTTCAACTTTAGACAATAATTTCTCATTCTCTAGGAATTAGTTTAGAGATTCTAAATATACCACAACGATCTACTCGACGAGTGAAATAAGTTAGTCTATTTATTTTCATAATCTGGCTATTGGATCACGTTCAAATATTTGGTCAAAGTTGACACGTAAGTCACTTTTTCATGATTTTATACTTAACCAATTCTAGCAGTTGAACAAACCAGAAACTAATTGAAATCTTACCATCACCATTGTTGAAGGAAAAGTGATCGGAGATGGAAAGGGTCACTACAATTGGGCTGAATATGGAGAAGATGAACGAATGGAAATTATTGGATTTGATGGAATTGGACTTTAGCTGAGAAGTGCGCCAATAGGAAGAAGATCGAAATAAGTATTTAAAACAGGCCCAGTTATGTTTTGGCCCATCCAGAATAAAAACTAACTCCAATAGCCCACTTATTAGCTACTACCCATGTATTTTCCTTGGGCTAAAATCAGACACCTACGTTGACGTCTCTATATTGTGGCCCAGTGGGTTGAGCTTTATCATGAAGATTACCCAAGTAATTTAAGACAAAAATCAAGTAGGTATGGCAGCCCAAGACCCAAGTGGACCCAAATTCACCATGCTAGCTACTCTTCTATATCCGTGGGCTTCAAAAGGGGCATAAATCTTCCCTACCAAAATTGTAACGATGGAAGAGCGGGCAATTGGCACCACCGACACTTCCTTGACTCCCACATTGAGGATAAGGTGGATTTGAAAACCCAGGGTATTAATAGGATCCAATCCACCTCACGCATTCTAGAAGGACCTAGAAGAATAATAACCTGCAAGTAGGTGGAAAACTAATCTTTTAGAGAGTAAAATGGGAGGGAAAATTTGTTACAAGTAGCTTATAAATAAAGAAAGCGAGGAAAGGATTGGGCATGCAAAATAGTGAGTGAAGACCGTATTGTGGAGAGTGCAGCCCTCTCGAAATATTGACTGTATTTCATTTATTTCTGTAATTCATCTTGCAATCAATACAGTTGTATAATTTTTGCAATTATTCATCTGTTTCATTGAATACTCAGGTGGTCCCTATCAATATCTACACTGGGTTGAGTTTTGGAATAACACCTCATTCCATACTACTACCAAGCACACTCATTTTCAGAATGTGTATGGCCGAAAGCTACCTTAAATAAACTAAATGTGCAGCTCTCTAGAGCATAACTGAGGATGAAGAAGATCGCATGTGGACATCACTGTGAAATTCAGTTGTGGTGGGGGACTTAGTCTATCTCAAGCTCCGGCCATACCGCCAAAAGTTTGCGGCTAAACGCCATTTTGAGAAGCTATCTCCGAGGTACTATGGACTGTTCAAAGTGGAGTCGAAGGTTGGGCAAGTAGTGTACAAACTGAAACTTCCACCTACATCTCATATCCACCAAATTTTCCACATATCTCAGCTCTGTAAGGCCATTGGCAACATGCAGCCGGTTTCATCTCTTCCACCTTAAATGTCAGCAAATGGGGAGTTTATTCTGGAATTGGAGTCTGTTCTTGGAGTTTGTCCTAATCCTAACACCACGGCTGGGGGTCTGGATATCTTAATTAAGTAAAATAATTTGACGGAGTTTGAGGCAACCTAGGTTACACGACCCCGTCTCGAGTCACCCTAGTGGACCCACACGTGACGTGCGCGAATGATGAGTTCCAACTAGATGATGGACCTACCACCAAGGCCACATAGACTGTTCTACGACTGTTTGACTATTTAG